CCCCATTTAGAGTCTGCAATTTAGGTAAAACTGAGAAAATACTGGTGATGCTTCCTCTGAGAGATATTGCATTCTTCAGAAATAATAATATTCAGCCTGCTTCAGCCTAAGAAAAACACACAGAGGATCATTTGGATTACCAGTTCTGTTTTTTTAAGGGTATTAACAGGCCCACATCCAAGAAAGTGATTAATTCACTGCTTGTTGCTTAGGATTTATATTGAGGCACATGGTTGCTAACACTGAACTATTCCTTAGGAAAAGGTATTTAAGTCCTTTAAGGCATGAAAACACAGAAATGGCTGCACTGGATCAAAGCTGTTCATTTTTCCTACATTCAGCCTGTGGCTGGAGTTCATAACCCATTCTACAGAGAAAAAGGCAAGAATATTGCATTTACAGAATAATCATCTTAATAAAGAAAATTTCATGTTAGGTTCTTGATGATTGTGAGGCTTGATTTACATACAAAGATTCTGCTTAGTTGAGGGCAATGGAGAAAATGAAGAAATGGTTACAATTACTTTTATTTCTCTTGAGTAAAGGAGAACAGTATGACCAATTAAAGGAAAAAAATACAGAGAAGCTTACAAATTGACAGTGACACAAATAGTTGATAGTGTCTTCTGAATAATCAGTATTTGATGGATATTGCCTGAGGAAGTATAAAAAAGAAATTGGGTAAAATTCAGGATGAAATTTTAGGGAGACAATATGATTGCATCTGTTGAGAATATAAGTGAGAACCTTGGATATAAAGTAAGGAGAAGCAAAAGACTTTTGGGATATTGGGTGATGTTAATTGTATGTCCTGATAGACAGGTTAGGTCACAGTCATAAGAGTTTCTGATGTGAGGTATCTTAAAAGCTCCCTGTTCAGCCTCTGACAGCAAACAAGACAAGCACTGCAATGCTGACCTTTGGCATTTTTTTTTTACTTTGGAATTTACAGTTTCTGAGTCATAGCAGCCCAGTATATTTTCACTGCATCATTTGTTATTTTATAAGCCCACATTGTTGTCTCTTTTCTAAGTCAGTGAGTCCAGGATTTATTTTCTTTTTTGTATGGCAATTTTTTCTACACTTTTCCTTGTATTTTTAACATTGTATTAAAATTCCTGTGTGAATTCCTTCTGTTATTTTGTATCCTTCCTGTTTTGTTTTTTTTGTTTTGTTTTGTTTGTTTATGGGTTTTTGGTTTGTTTCTTTGTTTTTGCTTAGTTTTGGGGTTTGGTTGGTTGGTTTTGGTTTTTTGTTTGGTTTGGTTTATTTGGGTGTGTTTTTGTTTTGGGTGGTTTTTTTTGATTGATTTTGGGTTGGTTTTGGGGGGGTTGTTTTTTTTTTTCATAGAGTATTTTTTAAAGTGGGATCAGTAATACTAATATAGATCTGTCTTTGATTTCCATAATCCATATGAACACTGATACAACTGTCCTTCATTCTAATTCTCAGAGCAATTGTATTAAAGGGAGGGGGTTAGTTAGTAGGATTCTTTTGTAGTACATGCATGTGATTTCATCTTCATTATATGTACATGTAGTTGGGTTTTTTCTTTCAGTATCCACTGAGTATGTAGTTACCAAGAAAATTGTATTTGGTAATGTGATTTTCAAAGTGGAAGTGAAATCTGTGAGTGTTCTCATGGTTATAGAGCAGAGCTCAGACACAAAGCACAGTCAGCTTGCATGTACTATACACTGGTGCTTGTGAGATTGGACTAGAGGTTCTTGTCATTATCTCAGTGTTGTTTCTCCCAGGAGATTCCCCTTTGAGATAATAGAACATCTAAGAGTTGATGTTACAAACACCCTATTTAACAGAGCAATGTGGTGTTTAGATAACCAGAATCACAGTTAGGCAAGCAGATACTTTTCATCCAGTCGTCCCTTTAGTCAGCTGTCTGATATGTTCTGAAATGTTCAAGATTGTGGGTTTCAAGCCTACTGAATTCCTATGACATTAGGTGTATTTTATCGGCCCTACACTGTCTAGCAGGGCATGTTCATTACGCACAGGGTAAATGTTGCCCTGGAACTTCATCCAAGAATTTTCAAATTATGTAACATTTGAATCTTCTAAAAATATAATATACAAGCTTCAGCAGAACCCAGCAGAAAAAAAACCTAATTACATGCATATTTTGCACTGTACTAGACACAAGTGATACTTACCCTACTTTTGCAAGTCAAACATATGCTTTTCTCTTTAAAACTCCTTTCACATATCAGACTTCAATTTCGGTTAAGGCAGAAACTTAGACTGGTTATAACAGGTGTTAGGTCTGCAGGAATGACAGATATTAGATACATAAGTTCCTGTTTTACTATGTTAGCCACACATAAACCTTTAATATAATCTGGCATATGTACATGACTCTGCTGCATCACATTTTCTTAACAAGGTTCTGTTTAAATTTCCCATCTATTCACTGGCATTTTGACAATTCCAGAAACAGGTCTAGCAGGATTTTTAAAATAAATATTCTAATCTACTTTATAATGTGTAATTTTCTTTTCTATAGTAGTGTTCAACTCAGCTTTCCCATGCAGCAGTGTTAATGTCTTTGATTACTTCATTTCAGGTAAAAATTCCCTCTAAATTTATTTTCCTTGTCATGTCTGCAGTGGATGTCTCCTGTACGCTACCTTGATGAAAGGAATTGTGTAGGTTGCTAATGGCCTGCAAATATTTGCTATCCATGGTCAAAAATATAAGCAGAACTGTGCTTCAGGTTCTGCAATTCTTTGATTGAATAGGACATTAGGAAGGGACAATTATCTCTGGTCCACCTTATTATCACAGAATCATAGAGTAGTTTGTTTTGGAAGGGACCTTAAATATCACGTAGTTCCAACCCCCCTGTCATGGGCAGGGATACTTTTCATTAGACCAGATTTCTCAAAGCCTCTTCCAACCAGGCCTTGAACAGCTTCAGGGACAAGGCATCCACAGCTTCTCTGGGCAACCTGTTCCAATGCCTGACAACCCTCCCAATAAATCATTTTTTCCTAATGTGTGATATAAATTTACACTCTTTGCAGTTTAATGACACTCCCCCTTGTTCTGTCACTATATGCCCATGTAAAAAGTCCCTGTCCATCTTCCCATCTTTTATGTACTGCTCTAAGGTCTCTCTAGAGCCTTCTCCAGGATGAATATATCCAACTCTCTCAGCTTGGCTCCAACAGGTCTGTTGGTCTTATGTTGGAGGCCCCAGAGCTAGATGCACCCACTCCAGGTGGAGTCTCACAAGACCAGAGCAGAGGAGGAGAATAACTTTCCTTTTATTGGGTTGTGTTGAGCTTCTCATGCACTTAAAGTCCCAAGTCATTCTCCATATGTCTGCTCTCAATCCATTCTCCTCCCAGCCTGTATTTGTTCTTGGGATTGCCATGAACCAGGTGCAGGACCTTGCACTTGGCCTTGTTGAACTTCACAAGGTTCATACAGACCCACCTCTCAACAAACACTGTCTTGTACGTGTCCAGTCCCTCTGGATGGCATCCCTTCCCTCCAGTGTGGTGACCACCCCGCACAGCTCAGTGTCATCAGAGAACTTGCTGAAGGTGCCCTTGATCCCCCGTCCCTGTCACCAACAAAGATGTTGAGATGATGTTCCCATCCCTGAGGGACACCACTTGTCACTGGGCTCCACATGGACATCAAACCACTGATTGCACCTCATTGAGTTCAACCATCCAACCCACCAAGATACTCAAGACTGATTCCTGTTCTTAGGGCTCTCCAATGGTTCCTGTGCCACCGTGAAATCTGTTCCTTTGGATTTTGGGATTTTCCTAATCATTAACCATCTACTGATCACACTGATTTGCTTTCCCTTTATATATAAGCCTTTACTAATAATTTTAAGTTTGCATAGGGTCTAATATAACCAACTTGTACCTAGTATTATTTAAATACTCAGTAAATTTTACTTTTTCTGAAGAAATAGAGTTGGTAAAACTTCAGGTGTGTGGTCTTGTTTTTTGAACAACTCTATGGCTTTTGAGAGGATGTGATTAAAACATATACTAATGAATATACCAGGACCACTGAGTGTAAAGTCTGTATGTAAGTCCTGCTTCTTCTGTGTATTGACTTCCATTCCTTTTTTTCTAACTGGGAGCATTATTAGAAGATAGTCTAAATTTATAAGTCTGAATTTTCATCTGTTTAAAATCATCATAAGTCACTTTGAAACAATGCAGCTAATTACCTTGGTGGGTTTAAAAAAGAAGAAAAAAACTTTACAAAAAATATGTCTATTTTTGGAAGATATTTAAATATAAAATAGTCAGATTTCTCTGGTATGAAAAACCATTTATCAAAAACCTATTTAGTAAAATAATAACTTATTGCAAATATATTATTAGTTATTATTGTGGCTTCTTGATAGCTTAAGAATAATTTAATAAGATATTATTAAATTTAATATTAATATAAAGAATAATTCTGTATTCTTTGTCCAAATACAGTCCTAAGATTTTTTCTGTTCTTTTCCATGATTAAAAAATACTTGTATTTTCTTGTGTTCTTTATCTTTCTCTCTCTTAAATTCCTTGCATTCCATTCTGTAGATTATTTCACATGTGTAAGTTACTTGTTGAACTGTCCCTCAGAAATCTAGGCATGTGTGATACAATTCAAATGTTGTTGTTGATGCCAAAACAAAATACAATGCTATTGAATTGATACTAATAGTTAAGCAAGGGTCTAGATAATTAGGGTCTAATAGTTAAACTAGAGTCATAGATTCTTTTTCCTTGGAAACAACCTTTAAGTTCATACAGCCCATTAAGTTGTCTGAACCAGTAGCAAACACAGTAGCTGTGAGAGAATGAGAGAACTAAATCTCAGGATGCCATTGATTCAGTGTTTCTTCTTTTTGTATGATTTGTTACTTTTCTATGGTACTGCAGAAATAATTTTAATAAATTGTCTGTTTCATTGGCATTTAATATTCGCTTATCTTGTGTTGCTCTGGCTGTTCTGTTCTGCAGCTTTTCCCACGGTGAACTGAACTAATTTGCAATGTTGTCAGACTGCAAAGCAGTGAGAAAAAAAGCTAGTACTTATCTTACATTTAGGACTAAAGGAGAGGAACCTAGACATGTACATCTGCTTCGGAAAATGCTGCAATTAAAATGGATTGCACATCAACACTAATAATTTGGTGACTTTGGAGGTGTGTCCCTTCAAAACTAGTGAGTCCATTTCATTTAATTTTGGCAATTTTCAATAGTTCATTTTATTATTCTGTTCCAGATCTTCTACTGTTACATGTATTTGAAACAGATTTTCCAATATAACCTCTGTAAAGAAACCTCCTTCTATTTGTTTTTTTTTTTGTTTTATTTTCTGACAGCTTCTCATAGCAGCACTGAAAAGTCTTCATGACACTCACAAAACTTTTTACAAAGTCACTCAGTTGATTATTTCTTTCTTGAAATTAAACCCTAGATTGGTGGATATATAAATTTTTTTGTGTTGGGCATGAAATAAAGACTATGATGGACACAGTTGTAAGATTAGTTCCTTAATAATATGAAGTTGGATCATGTCCTGTACTTTTCTGAGGAGTAAATCAGGAGCTTTTTCTCCTCTTGTGGGTTTCCTGACTGGAGTCACTGAAACTATCCATGAAACTTTTACCTCAGCAGTGCACCACTGTGTAATTTACCTGATTTACATCACTTTTTGCTTCTTGTTCTTGGTCTCCCACAGTATGTCACAGTGCCTGTCACCATCCTAGTCCCCCTATCAGTATTATAGTCTTAAAAATCCTGTGCTTTCCTACTTAGCTGATAAGTCCCAGTCCATACTGATCCTATTTTGCTTATTAATCCAGTGAACTTGTTTATCTGAGTTGATTCAGGCGTTTTAGTGTTTGACACTACTCCTCTGTTGCAGCAAACAGTTTTTCCTATGTTTTGTGTACTGGCCAATAAGCTTTAAATTTATTATTTTCCTTCACCATGTTTTTATATGTTTACAATGTTATAAATTTAAATCCATCCATTTTGTTTTCCTCATTGTACTTCTGGTAATTTGCTTTGTATATGTTTTCATATTGGCAGTATTTTTTGAGTTACCATGTCATATTTAAGTTCAACTCTATTCTTAGTCAACCAATAAACCGAATCCTCCAATATCTGCAAAATAATACAAGTAAGTAATTTCTTTTGCTCTTAATTTCTTTACTTGCCCTACATTTCCACCAGTACAATATAAACTTTATGATATTACTGTCCTAAAATTGAGTATATCTAAAAAATACATACCCCATTCTTGATCAATGAGATCAAAAAAAGGGAAATATAAAAGTTAAAGAAAAGTGATTAAATCTGAATTCCAGAATCTGAGCAGAAAGCCACAATAGGCATGAATACAAAATGTTTATGGATTGATATATGTTTTGTGGGAGACGGCTGCAATTTTCATCATGCACAGTAGAAGGGACAAATTATTTTTGTAGGTCCACAAAGTACACAAGGTGCACTAAGAAATACGCTTATGCAATAGATCATACATGATTCTACATTTTTTTTCTTGGTATATGGCTCTATACTTTCAAGAGAGAGAGAAGATTAGGAAATAATAGGATTTCCAGTGTTAAATAATAAAAGGTCTGTACAAAACATTAGAGGAAATTGCAGGATTTTTTTGTTTTGTTTTGTAAATATTTATTAATTTCCTACTTTAAACCTTCTCTAATTTTCTAAGTATTCTTCTAAGTAGGAGCCATTTTCATTGAGACTGTGAGATTATTTGCATTGAATGCCACAGTAGTTTTCATTCTCAGTCTTCTTTTGCATGCTTGACAGTATTTCAGATTTGAAGTAATGATGAACCATACAGTTACTGTTTTGTTGTTTCAAACATAGAATATCTTGAAAACACAACTTAGATTTTAACCCAGTTCTGGGTGCATGAAACTCTCCTTTTCCATCACCTTCAAGCAGGAGGTTTCCTTTTATGATGGATTCTATGGCTGTAGCCTCGTGGAAATAATTTTGATTTGCTCTGTTTGTTCAGTTCAAAGGTAAGGGCATTCAGAGAAGGAGTTTTGAATGTATTTTTGTTCTTTTTAATAACAGGCGAAAACATCAAAACAAGCTATTAGATCATGATAGAAATAGGAAAAATAAATCAAATTAGAAACATTTTCAGTATAAATAGATTTATAATTACAAGCCCTTGAATTTATGTAATTACACATACTCAAAAAAAACTCTATGTCATTGCCATAATGAAAAAGCCATCATTTCTCTTCAAAAGCACTTCAGAAAGCAAAATTCAGACAGTCTGCCAGCATATTCAATTTGTCCATCTCTCACAAAAATTGTACCCTGTCTTCAGTAAGGAAATTTGTCTTCTGTCAGAAGCAAATTACAAGAATTACTCAGAAAAAAGAGCATTCCTCTCATCACTCCTTGGAATTAAAATTGTGAATATTTCTCTTCCCACTTGCTCCCTCAGGTGTTTGATTTCATGAATATATAGGTCCCTGACCTTGGCCTGATTGACAAGGGAAGTTAAAACTGCAAGCACTTACTGTTCCTTTCAATGCATCAGTGAAAGGATGTTAGGAATATTAAATGGATGAACACACCTTAACTAATATTTAAATTATGGAAGGTATGATGTATGCCATTTTATAGTAAACAGTTTACTTAATAATAATACAGTTTTTTTACATTAGTAAAAATCTGAAATACTATGATTAGAAGAAAAAGCATTAATTTTTTTTATGTATAATAAACATGCATCAGTGTATTGTGTGCTTGCTACTAGAATTTATTTTATTTGGTTACAATTAGCAAATATTAGTAAACATGAACCTACAGACTGGTTATGCCCTCTATTCCCTGAACTACTCTATTCAAACACAATTTTACACTTCCTCATCTTTTTCCAGCTTCCAGATAGTAACAAGAGGGCTGCTGTTTCATCAGCAGTTGTGTACATTCCATATGCGAGGTTATGAATTTTATTATAGAGAAGTAAAATTGAACAGAATGTGGAAGTTGCCAAAAATTATTAATAAAAATTGTCAGAAAAACCAAGATTGCTTTCAAGTTGGGAGTGAAGTGTTCTGTAGATACACTCACAGTCTTTACTTTTTTAGAGATCTTAATATTTATACTAAGATCCTAGATCCCACAATAAAATATGTTGTAAGAAGTAGACTAAACAAGAATTATCAGGCCATATTGCCTAGCAGTGATTTCTTTAATTCTCATTTGAACTTCTCTTTCTAGCTTCTGTGTTCCTTGAAAACTCTCACACATAAACCATAAAAAGTGTGTTGATATTAAAGCTTGTATTTCCTCCCTACTACAACATAAAATTTTTCCCCCATCCTCAGTCTTTCATTACTATTTTATTCAAAGAAAATATAACCAAGAGTCTCATTCGGAGTTTAGTTCCAAGACTTAAGTTCATCAAGATGAACAAGGTTCTCACATTATTTTTATGCTGGTCATTGGTGAAGATTGAAGAGAGATTAAAAGATGAAAAGAGGGCTGTGTATCCCACTGGACATGAATGGAGTCTTCATAGTCCATCGGACCTGATGATATGCATCCCAGAGTCCTGAAGGTATTGCCTGTTGAAGTTCCCAAGCTGCTCTCCATGATATTTGAAGGATTATGGCAGTCAGTTGATATGCCAGTGACAAAAAGGGAAACATACCTATTTTTGAAAAGAACAGAAAGAACAAACTCTGGAAACTAACCTGTCAGCTTCACCTCTGTGCCTGGAAAGATCATGGAACAGATTCTCCTCGCAATTGTGCTGAGACATTTGGAGGACAAGGAAATGATTTGTGACAACCAGCACAGCTTCTCCAAGGGTAAGTCCTGCCTGATCAAACTATTGACTTTCCATGATGGAGTGACCACATCAGTGGATTGAGGGATGGGTTACAGATTTCATTTATCTGGAGTTCTGTAAAGCCTTTGACATGATCCTCCACACCCTCCTCTTGAAATTGGAGAGACACAGGTTTGATGGGTGGACAATATAGGTAAGGAATGGGTTTGACAGTCACATCAAGTGGTCAACTGATGGACATCAGTGACAAGTAGTGTCCCTCAGGGGTCCTTCTGGGACAAGTGTAATACCCTCATTAATGACATAGACAAAGGACCAAGTGAACCCTCAGCAAGTTTGCAGATGACACCAAGCTGAGGTGGTTTGACCTGGAGGACAGGATGCCACCCAGAGGTACCTGTACAAGCTGGAGGAATGGGCCTATGGGAATCGCATGAGGTATAACAAGACCAGGTGCTGGTGCTGCACCTGGGTGGGGCAACACCTGGTATCAACCTAGTCTGGGCATGAACAGACCCAGTGCAGCCCTGCCCAGAAGGACCTGGGGGTGCTGGTGGGTGAGAGGCTGGACATGGCCCGGCCATGGCACTCACAGCCCAGAGAGCCAAACGTGTCCTGGGCTGCATCCAGAGCCCCGTGGGCAGCAGGGGAGGGAGGGGATTCTGCCCCTCTGCTCTGCTCTGCTGAGACCCAGCTGGAGCATCCAGAGCTGGGGTCCCTGCACAGGAGGGACAGGGACCTGCTGGAGTGAGCCTAGAGGAGGGACACCAAGGTTATTAGAGGACTGGAGCACCTCTACTGAGTGGAAAGACAGAGAACTGGTGTTGTTCAGCCTGGAGGACAAAAGGCTTCAGGGCCATCTAGTTGTGGCCTTCCAGTACCTGAGGGGAGCCTACAAGAAAGATGGAAAGCAGCTATTTACAAGAGCCAGTGTCTCAGTTAAGACAGTGTAAAGGGGAACACTCTAAAATGAGTTGCCCCCTTTATAGGTTTAAGTAATTTCTTTCCACAAAGAAGCAGAAAACAAATATGAGCAAGTGTAAGTGAAAAAATAACCATTTGCTAGCAAATGAAACTGCAACAGACAAAACCCAGTAAATAATCACTAGATACAAAATTTCCAATGCACACTCCCTGAGAACCAAGAAAAACACAAAATAGGTTTTTCTATTTCTGGAAATACCTTTTTTGGGATGGTGCCCCCATCAGGCAGGCGACAGTGTGAGGGGAGACAAAGGGAAAAGATGGCAAAC